CCCCCAGCTTCCTAATGAGAATGGGGTGAGAGACAGTATCAAAAGCCTTCCTGAAGTCTAGGAAAACTATATCCACTGCCACCCCTGCATCCAATGATTTAGTGACCTGGTCGTAAAAGGCCACCAGGTTGGTCTGATAGAACCTGCCGCTGATGAACCCATGCTGGTTGCCCCTGAGCATGCCGTTCCCTTATTTCACCTGGCCTGAAAAAAACATTAACTTATCTATTTTTGCAATGTGTCTTCATCTTATCCTTAAGACTAAGTCCCAAAAAGAAGCTGGGAGGAGGTAAACCCACCCAGTCCACATCAATGGATACTCAGGATCTTGGGCTGGGTAGAACAGGATAGCATTTGGATGCCTAAGTACCACTTTGATACTTAATAGTTGAAATAAGATATGCCTCAAGGACTTTTATATAGTATTAAAAAGTGTAGGCCAATAAAATATTAGTACTTCATATATTCTCACAAATGGAGGGGACATTGAGTTTACAATTAGAAATGTTCAATATAACATTGAAATTAAAATATTTGACTTCGTGGGAATTTTGTGTGAAACAGCCCATGGTAGGAACTGGGCCCTTGATGATAGATTCTGATTTCTATAGGCCTCTTTTTTTCCTTTTCTTCTCTTCATTTTACTTCCTTCTTTCTTACCCTGTCCTATATTTTCTCTTTTTAGTTCTCCTCCTCCTCTTTTATCTTTAAATTCTTTAACATACTTATGAATGCTAGAGAGTAAAAAGAAAGAAGAAAAAGAAAAAAACTGAAGGAAAGAAATGGAGAGGAAAACCTGCAAATAACAAAGTAAAGTGATAATAATTTGAGTTGATATCACTGGTGCTTTATGGTCTAACGTAATCTCTTCTTTTCTTTTATGATAGGTTAGGTCCATTACAGGTGTAAATCTACATCTAATCCTTAACAGTCTATGCTAATCTGTTCTATCCTTTTATCTTTTTGTATTAGCAGTACATTTTACTATACCAGCATCAGGAATTTAATGAAAGGAATTTTTTTCTTAGAGCATCCCAAAGCAGAACTTCTTTCTGCATTATGATTCAACTAAATACAAAAAATGGCTATTTTATTTACACATAATGTCCATGTGTAGTTACTACATGCATGCACATATACCTATATTAATGCATGGTATGATGGAAGTTTTAATGTTTTGACCTACAACCAGCCATTCCAAGTTTCCTTTCTTACTTCTTCATCCTTCTGTTCTCTGACTTGTCTTTTTATTATTAACATTTATATTTCAGTAGAGCCAAAGGCGAACAAGATCAAAGCTCCATTGTACTAGACACTCCACAAACAAGTAGAAAATAATCCCTATCCCAAAGATTTTATAATCTAAAAATATATATAAAAGCCATAACTGATGAATGCAGGAAATAGATAGGGTGAGAATTATGCAAGATGGAATAATAAAAGTAATAGGATTTATTTAGCTGCAGCCAGTCAGGAACACAGATGACAATTCAGTACTTGTCTATACATTACTAGGTTGTTATTTACTCTATGCTGAAAATTTCACTCCTGAAAGAACATTTCAAAGGGGCATTCCTGGGTGACAGGCTGCAAAAGGGCTCACAGGACACATCTGGCCTCCAAGTCACACTTTGGGAGCCCCTACGGTGCTGCAGGCTGCATCAAAAGGAGTTTGCAAGCTGCATTTGGCCTGTTGACCATGCTTTGGGAACTGTTGCTTTATGATTTTCATGCAGTGACTTATCTATTTCTAATTTGCTTAGGTCATCCTGGTCATTAGGTAGGAGTAGATGAAGAGAAGGGCTGTTCCCTAGAGGGTATCTGACAGTTTGGTTCAAGAAGCAGTCAATGGCACCATTCATCATTCCTGTCTCTGCCACTCCATCTCACCAGAGCTGTAATGAATATTGAAGGGACATTGAAATTGCACATAACTGCATTTTTATTGTCCATCATTCTCTTGTTGTTTTTAAT